GGTTTGACTCAACAAGCGTCTTCAGAGCATCAATATTAATTCCAACATTTCGGTCCCTGCCATCACAGTTTTTAAGGCAAAAGTCACCTGAACGAAATTTTCTGAACCATCGTCGACACTTACGAACGTTCAAAACATTTCCATAAACTTTTTTGATATTCTTTGTGGCTACAGAGACGTTATTTCCCTTCTTGTATTCAAACAGCATTACATGCAGAATGTGTGTCTCGGTGTGTGCCATCACTATAAGGAATTAGAGTATACTAAACTTTACATATTATATAGGCTACATTAACTTGACGTTTAGGCGGTTCGTTAACTACTATTACACATGATGTACGTTTTTTGGGAGTGGTTAATGAAAGTGTTCCAAAACGCGACATTAATCTCTTGACGACCTAATAGAATACTCAATGCTTTGTACACTATACAATCGGTGTTTTAGAGAACCAACCCCTATATTATGTATGAAGTGAAGGAGTAAAAAAATCAATATACATAATATTAAATTTTATTACATACGTTCATAGAATATACCAGTTTTCAGCATGGAAAAAAACTTCACGAAACAAGTAATAAAAACATTTTGTAAATGTAAAATGATGTAGGGATGGCAGTGCTGAAAATAATGCAAACAAGAATATAAGGATGATACAGCTATACATAGATCATCTTTACATTACTTTCAATATAAAAATTTAATGTTACACTGTAAAATGCATACTTGACTTTAAGTTTAATATTACTGCAGTTGGACGATATATATTCCTGGATGTTAGTATACAGTTTGTTTATCATAATATTATGGTCATGTCGGGGTAGGCATCAAGGTAGTGTAACTAAGAGCCTAGGACAAAGAAAGCCAAGTTGAGTCAAAACATGTCTTGATTAATACGGACTATTACAGACTCTCGCTACGAGGTCGGTCAATTCGACCGACCTCGTAACCATTTTGTACTCATGCATTTTACAGTACAACATTAAATTTTAAAATTGAAAGTCGTATAGGAATGAACTGTGTATAGCTGTATCATCCCTATATTCTTATTTGCATTCTTTTTTGGCACTGCCATCCCTTCATCATTTTACATTTAAAAAATATTTGTATTACTTCTATAACAGTGGGTTGAGCTTAAACTCGCTACGTGTCTGTGTTGGGTCGTTTAAATGGCTCTGTTTGCGTTTGTAACAGACAAACAAAAATCATCATTATATTTATCACATTAATTATAATAATGATATTACGTTGTCTATGAAAAGGATAATTAACTAAAATCATGCATTTCCAGCTTAGAAAAGAGTTCACACCATAATATCATTATGTATTTTTTTAGTGTCAATCACCAGCATTAATTATTAATCAAATCATTAAAAAAACGAATAACTTGTCAATCCTTAGGAGGAGATATAATACAATAACTGGAAGAAAATACTGGAGTGACTGGATATTTCTGCAAGATTCTTAATCATTCAATCAATTCACATGCTTCGCCAATAGCTAAGGATCAGTCTAGTATCAAAACATGTGCCAACACCACATTAACTTGAGTATTAAAACATGTGTCAACTCCACGTTAACCTGAGTATTCACATTCAAAATATATGTGACGAAACTTTATCCAGAAAATATCTATTTATTTTTCACAGTAATGGCAAATAAATATTGCTCGAACATTAATAATCTGTGAATTTCCTGGTGTTTTTCATAAAACTTCCTCCTTCCAATTGAAGAATTTCTGCTGTAAAAGTGAGTTTTTTTCAGTTTCAAATCCTGACATATTTGATTTAAACCGAAAAAGGAATGCAATATTTTAGAACGAAGGACTTTTGAATTCTCATGATGATAGTTCTTGAAATATATATATATATATATATATATATATATATTCATGAACGAAGCTTCCTTCGTTTATTGTTCACTCATTACAATAG